GCTTTCCCCTGCCCCGTGCACACCCAGGACAGCAGCACCATCCTGGGGCAGAACCGCAGCGCCGAGCCGGGACCAGCCAGCGCCAGCGCAGGGGAAAGCCAACATCTGTCACGTTTTCTGTTCAGCTCCGGTACCACGGCCTGAAGCCCCTCTGCGCGGCACGAGACCTGACTGCCCATTCACCCCAGGCCAGAGCAAACGTCTTTTATTGTAGCACTTGGGCAGGGTGAGTTAACTGCACCGAAAACAACAGGGGGGAAACAAAACCCAGAGCATGACGACCAACAGGACACCACCACAGCCCAGGGGTGGCTGCCCAGGGATGTGCCATTTCCAAAACACTTCACATGCCTGGGCTTGGTGAAATGCTGGATTGACAACCAAGCTGCAGACCCTGTCCCCAGGCCCACAGATGGTGCTGACAAGGACATGCATGGCCCCACAGAGCATCCCAGTGCCACAGGGGATGGCTGACGAGTGTCCATCCCAGCCTGACATCAAGCCAGTGGTCACTGGTGGAAGCGGCTTCAGATGTTAACAGTGCAGTCCAGACACCCAGCACAGGACCATTTACCCCCTGTGCAGAGGGGGAAAAAAGCGGCACCTTTCCTCACACCCTGGAAAGCAAATTAAGATCCTGCTGTTCCTGGCAAGACAGAGGTTAAAAAAAAAATGAAGACGACAGGATTTTCTCACCCATGTGGGGTGTTTTACAACAGCAAGTGTTCCTGCAGAGGCAGCCATCGCAGTTCACAGCCACCGAGCGGTTTCACAGCCTGGCCGTGCTGCGGGTCTGCAGCAGAACCTGGGTCGAGTTCAAGCCAGACCTGCACCCAGCGCACGGCCCTGCGGGACAGTGACCACCCCCTCCCAGACCGCCCCAGTTCGGCTGTACTGGTGTTAGTAAGGCATGCTGGCTGTCTGCAGCGAGCAGCGGTACAGGACCACACGGTGTCACGATGCCGCTGCACTCCTGACCCGCAACAAGCCCTCACGACAGCCCTGACGCTTTGCTCAGCAGAGGGTTCAAATCCCAGCGAACTGGGCAGCGGCTGGGTCACATGCAGAAAACCAAAACTCCACTCCGCAGCACTGCCTCTTCTCACCTCTCGAGCAGGCAGGACCACACCTGGTTTTTATCGACAAAAGTGAAAACTGGCGATGTGCTCCTCACCTCCCCGGGCGGGCAGGGGGTGCTGCTGCAGCTCCTCTCCCTGCCACACCGGTGTCACCCAGTGCCCCACTGGGTACCCTGCGGAGAGCCCAGCGGGACTGGTCCCGCAGCTCGGCCAAACGCAGCTGAACTGGGGACATCCCGGGCAGGGGCTCCAAGGCACCGAGCAGAGAGGTGACACTGATGCACCAGCAAGCCGGTGGGATGGGACATCTGAGTGAACATCTCTCTGGTGCTGACAATTTTCTGCCAATTCTTACTGTTTTGGGTGCTGCACTTGCACCTTGGCCAAACACCGTCAGGCCATCTAAACTCCTGGAGGTTTTACCCAAATTTAGAACTCCTCACCTTCTTCCCTGAAACGCCACACACACTGCAGCCCTGCTCAACCGTACCCACTTTGAGCTCCCACCAGCCACCCGTCTGCGACTGCTGAAATCCTCTCCAGCTGCCTAAAACTGCCACATGCCCTGGGGATTTCTCAGTGGGAAACACCATATAAATATCACCGATGATTAGGGCCCCGTTGTTATTATTTCTGATGTGGCTGTTACAAGGGTGACTGGCACGGCCTCATTTGTACGACTGTGACTGGCAGCCTGTCACCCCGCTGCAGGGTATAACAGAGACTGCACGACTAACATTTCCTCTCTGTCTTCCCCAAGGCATCTGTCTTCTCTATCACCCGTGGACCCCCCTCCCTCCCCACGCAGACCCTGCAGGCAGAATTCAAAAACGTGTCACCCACACCAGGAGGCGGCTGTCGCGCCGAGGCCAGCTGAGCCCTGTGCTGTGGAGGGAGCAGCTCGGCGTGGTGGCCCAATGTGCCTGCTGGAGACAGCCTGGCGTCCCGCCGGCAGCACGGCTCGGTCCGGCAGCACAGGCAGAGATGAGAGGGAAGTGCCTTGGCAAGGACACCTGGGGACCGGGGACCTCAGCTGTTGTGCAGCCGGCTGCACGGCGGACAGCACTGTTTGTGCTCCCGAGCCCCTGCCAGAGGGCGAAGCTCCTGCACCGAGGAGCAGCGATCAGGGTGCAGGGCCAGGGCCAGGCGAGATGCTGTGCCACCTGCTCGGTGGCCATCACAGCAGACACGGGCACGGCTCTGCTGCCTCCTGTGGAGCCGGACCTCACAGGCCCCCCCTCCACTGCTCACCTTCACTGGGGACCTGTCTCCCCTGTCCAGCTTCCTCATTCTCCCACTGACATTGGCTCGTGTCTGGGCTCCCAGGGCTTTCACACCCCACTTGCCAGCCGAGGCACCTCCCTTATTCTTGCTCTTGGCTGGGCTGGGACCGGCCCAGGGGCCATGGGGGGCGAGCACCAAAGGATACTAAAACTTTGATTTGTGATTTCGAAGTTCCACAGGTTTATCCTCAGGTCGTCCGCCGACATGTAGGTCTCGTAGTCGCTGTTGACGGAGATGGAGTTGATGTGGTAGGTATGCGCGTTGGCAAACACCCGCCGGGGGGTGGCCTCCACCATCAGGTCCATGGGCCGCAGCACAGGCACCTGTGGGACGGGAAGCAGAGCATCAGCACCCGGCACGGGGGAATGCCCCCACGGCCACCGCAGGCAGCTCCGGCTGGCAGCACTCCATCCCACCCTCCAGGCTCTCACCAAGGGAACCCAACGCCCTTCTGAGTGTACAAAGAGAAGGACAAGCAGACACAAAAGCCTTCTACTTTTGAAAGAGGCACCAGTACGGTTAGAGCGAGAGCCCAGTAAACCAGGCTCGGATCTCTGCTGCAGCAAGCGTTCCTTCTTTGAAAAAAACCCCACAAAACCACTTCTGCTTTGTTTGTCACTGTTAACCGGAATCTGAAGCTCCTGGAGCATTTCTAACAGAAATATATTTCTTGAGAGAGCCAGGTCAGCACAGATTTTTCTTTTAACTTTTTTGCGTTTGCTTCACAGTGAAGTGACGGAGGTGAGAGATGAGAAGAGACAGGGAAAGGGAATGCACAGGGCAGGAACAGATGGAGGGACTAGAAACAGAGTGACACACGTTTGCCTTTAGATTAATAAGCCTAACTCATGTAAACACTAAGGGACGGAGCACTGCAGTGAGACAGTGTAAGCAAAGAGCGGTGTAAGTAATAACTTCAGATGTAACGCTCTTAAGGCAACTCAATACACTAGAAAGGTGTCAGTCTGTGCTCCCGTCTGCAGTAAGCTATTCCCTCAAGCTACTTCATTACTGTGTATATTATCTGTGTGCTGCCCAAAGAGATTTCCCATGGCTGCAGAGATGGGGACAGGAGTGTGACAGCCAGCTCGAGTGACACGAGAGCACAGGGACTGCCAGCTCAGAGCCTGAGCTTAATGTGACGAGCCTGCCTGCTAATTCAGCCTGACACGGCCAATGATGCATCGTTTGCCGCGGAAGGACTCTGCTCAGCCATCTGGGGACGGAGGCTCGTGTTTTGCTCAGGATTACAGAGGCCGGGCTGTCATTCAGACCGTCAGAAACATGACGGGTCTGCAAAGGGAAGGGGTTCACCGGTTACACCAGGCCTCGCCGGGCACAGAAGTACAGCAAAGGCTTCGGCGGAGGCTTTCACTCTGCGAGATGACGCCCAACCGCACCTCCCAGTCAAACCCCAGGCCAGTCCCCATCCCCGGCAGGAGCCCACTGCAGCACAAAGGACCAGGGTGATCCGGGTCCGAGCTGCAGCAGCGTGGCCATTGCAACTTCCAGCGGCCCAGCACGATCCCCTGCCCAGTTCCTATGTGGCAGCTACACAACCACAGAGCCGAGACAAACTCTTCAGCCGAGAAAATTCTCCACATGTTACCTCGGAGCCAAATTCTGGTACGCTGGGACTTGGTCTGTCACCACGCAAAACCCCATGAGAAGAACAAGCCTGGTCATCCATGGATATTTGGTTAAGGCGGGATTTTTTATCTGCTACGGTAGCGAGAATCTGCACTGGAATCTGCAGAACAGCAAGCGTCCATGGCCCTGCTCACCACGTGCTGTGAGCTTTTGCTTAAGTGTATGGACAATAAATATTTAAACCTGAAAGCGCTGACATCTTGAGACAGGAGCAGCCTGGAATGTGCTGGGAGCACACGCCGGCTTGGGGATCTCGTCCCACGACAGCAGAAATCTTGCGGCGGAAGGCAAACCTGGTCTCAGGATGGCCAAGGGGAGCAGCTGCCCAGCGCAGGCTGAGCCCTGGCTCGGGTTTAACCTCATCCGCGCCGACGTCTGCCCTGAAGGCGTCTGGAATCACCACCACCGCGGCGAGGGCCGACGTGAGCCCATGCTGACGGGTCGACTCCGGTGCCGGCGCTGACGTGTGCCCTTGCCGACATGCAAAGCACAGGCAGGGAAGAGCCTTCTGCCCCCTCTCCCCGCTAGCCACCACAGGACTGCTCTTTCCCACCACACTGCCTGGTCTCCAGCAAAGCACCTCCCAGCACCCCGTGGCCCGCTCCAGTGGCTGGCAGGCACCCCACTGCATTTCTGCTTAACGTACATCATAGGAAAGGAAAGGGTGGTCTGAGGGGAGACCCCGGGGACCGATCCGGGGGCTGCAGCCATGCTGTCCCAAGCCCTGCTGGGCAGGCTGGGAGCTGCTCCAGGCGGCAGCATCAGGGACAGTGAATAAAAAGCGCCCAACAAATGGGGCAACGTGACAGCAACTGAAACTTGGTCTTTTTTTTCCTTTCTGAAGCACACAGAGTCCAAGCCAGTGTCTGCCTAAACTACCCGGCTCCCACCAGCATTGCCATGGCAATCCTCAGCAGCACAGAGACCTCCTCAGTGCATCTCTTCTTCAATTACAGGGCCAACATGCAGGGCAGGCTCTGGTATTATATATACCCATTATTAAAGGGTAATTCGGTGTAACAAACCGCATCAAGTACATAGAAAGGCTGTCAAATAAAATAAACCACTAATAAATTAAATTACTTTCTGTTTTCAGGAAGGGGGGAGAATGATAGTCATTTTTCATTTAAAACAAAATATGTCTTAATTTTTCTGTCTGCCTTTAGCAGGCACCCCCTGCAAAAGAGCCGGTTCCACTCATTCAAAGCGCACATGACACTCGATTCCTCTCTCCTTGTCTGGTGAAGGCTTCCCCTTTCCTGAGTTAATGAGGCACTAATCCTCCCTTGAGCTGTAAAATTCATTTTCTCGCTGGCTGGGGGGTGGAGGGAGCTGGCGTGCCCTGGCCCCTTCCCACCGCTGGCGCTGCATCTTTTCCTGCCACCCCCAGCCGCCGAGCGAAGGACCAGGACGCAGGTAACACCATGTCAGTAATTGCTGCCACTTCACTGCTTCGCCCCCTCTTCCCATCAAGCTTCCCCCTTTCATGGTCCATCATGTTGACTGTCACCAAACGCTCCCTGCTCCCGGGGGGAAAGCTTCACATGGCAGAGCTTCTCCTTGTCGTTTACGGCGCTGTGATGGACGTGGCCTGAAGAGACGCAGAGATTCGGTGTTTCTCAGGGAAACCTTGTCCCCCACCCAGAGGTGCTCTGAGGTGCTCTGCGGCGTGCAGCATACTCGAAACACAAGCCAATATACAGGGGGAAAAGCTGAAGGCTTCAGTTCCTGGGACGGCACGGTCACATAACCTCTCACTAGCACAAGTCCAATGCGTGCTGAGTTTGAGCTGCCCGTTACTGGGGTCAGGCCGGTGACACGACACCCCCTGCACAGCCCCGCAGCAAGATGGGACTCAGCCACCTACAAGGTGAAAGCACTGCTGGGAATCCTTCTCACGGGACATGCTGGAGGCCAGAAATTCCTACAGGGTGTGAGTATGACAGGGCTGGCTCACGAAGGGCAAGCCCAGCGCAGACACGCAAAGCAGCAACACCGCCTCTGCCCCAGGAAGCTGCCGCAGCACCCCAGCACCGCCCTGGCGCGGGTCCTGCACCTGCCCCTGCACGGTGCTCCTGGCCACAGGCCGACGGGAGTGAGGGCAGCCGCAGACTTGCCAGCATTGGGACCACGCACCCATTTCTGTGTAATGGAGAAGGAGGTTTTGCTCTCAGTTATCTCCATGGAAATCCTCGTGGCAGAATGGAGCCGCATGGGGCTTAAGCTGAAATCCAAATCTCACCCAGAGGAGTAAACATTAAAAAAAAAAAAATCAATAAATAATCCATTTAGGTATTTATCTGGTCCCCACCTCATCAGGGGTTACCAAACCTCAACACCAACGGCAGTCAAAGCTCTGCAATTGCCTGCGACGCACAGCGGGACCAGCAGCAGCTCAGCCCGACGGCTGCAATGCCGACGGCAGAGCAGCTCCCGCTGCGGCCCGCTCGGCGTGCACCAGTACTCAGGTCTAACTGGTGATGCTGTAAACTGGTGGATGGGGCAGAGCTTTCCTCTCTCCTTCTGCATTTACAGCTGGACAAACCGACCTTCCCAGGCGCAGCCCTGCTCCCCCCAGCCCACCTGCCCTTGCTCTGCACAAGCGCTGCCTGGTGCGTAGTTTGCTCCGCAGCCTCACGCAGCCCCGGCAAGCTGGCAGGATTTGGCCACGAGGGATTAGTCACAGCCGAAGCCCAGATTAACCCTAGCCTTGGGTTTGCAAGAAGCAAAATGTAATCCAGTTCCTGGCAAATCAGAGAGCAGAGCTAGCTGCTCGGGGATAAACCCGGTAAGGTTCCTCACCTGCTGCAGCAACTGAGCTCTGAATGTGCTCCCCGAGGTTTATTTCTTACCTACAAAAGGCATATGCTGCCTGCAGATTAATATTTTGCAGACACAATGTGCATCAAACACTATTTTCATGGCAGACTGACAATTTCATGCTCTTCAGGATTCTGTCTTACTGAACCCTTGCTGTGAAGTGTGGAAGGGACCTTCCTGTGGGAGGATAAACCCGCTATCTCGTTACCAGCCCATGTAGCTGATAGAGCTTCTGGTTTCATCTCTTTTCCCTAGATGTGTCCCTCCCTGCTAAGCATCACACTAACACCGCTGCTTCTGTTGCCCGTTACTGAGCCTGTTCTTCACATGGTGAAACGCAGACACAGACTCGCTGCCACCTGAAGACCCACCTTCACGTGTGCAGGTCCAAAAGGTGCAGGCTGCCCCAAAAGGGTCTGGGTCCCAGCTGGGGGCCAGGAGGAGGGGGAGGACCATGGACCCCAACCAGCTCTGCAGAAGGATGGTGCAGCCAGCACTGGGGTGCCGGAGCAGGAGGGTGTGCTGCCAGGGCCACGTCCAGCTTCTCAACAACTGCTCCGCCCCAGAGGAGGCTGCTGGCACACCACAGGGCCCTCAGCGCCCACCCACAGCTGCGGGAGTCGGAGCCGGAGGGGGAGAAGGTGTGACACATACTCGGCTGTGTGCCGAGACCCCCCTGCGCCGTGGGCATGGGCAAAGGCTGCGGGAGCGGGCGGCAGGTCCCTGCGCCGCCTGCCCCACGCCCACCCCGGAGCTCCCGGCCCTGCGGTAGGGCAGGAGCAGGGCTGTCGTCCTTCTGTCCCCGCTTGGGTGCCCCAGGAGGAGAACGAGGGCCACTGGTGGGCAGCAGGTC